ATGGCAGTTATGCTTCAAGGACAGTTTACAAAGCCTTGAATTTTGTATTTAAAGCATCACTTCACCTTGAGGCATTAAGACAGCTATTTCCCATTTCAGTAACAAAAATTCCCCAAAAAGTTGGTCTTCAGCTGATAAAATATCCTTCCTATGAACTTCAAATCCTAAACTCAACAGTGACATTAAAATAATTAGCTATATGGCCCCTTGTGTGGTTTTATGGCTTCCACCTGCTGTATTTGTTGCTATTAACTCATGTGGCTCCAACTGAACAAAATGCTCATGTGCATATATGTGTAAATGCTTTCTAAAGTCAAGGCCCATTGGATTCTAAGGTGACCTAAAACAGATATTTCTGTTCAGTCTCCATTTCCACAGAGACAATACATCTCTTCAGTGTTCACTTATTTGAATTTAGCCACCTATATGCTGATAAAGGAGGCATTTATTTTTAAGCCAGTGAGCCCTCTTTTTCCATGATTGTCGATTTTAAACAATAATACTTCACCCATCTTACTCTTAATCCATAATAGTTCTGGGGTAGCTCACACTGAAAAGTGGATTACTTGAAGTGTGTGTTTCCCACAGCCTTTTAGAACTCTCCATGCTTTGGAGGGCTTTTTTTTCCACCTTTTCCCCTTGTTTTTCCTTGAGAACAGAACCTGTAGAGATGGGAGAGGAGAAAGCTCATAACTGACATTTCAGTCACTGCTTAGTTTGACTGTAAGGTTTAGTAGAGAGTTATTCATACCAATAAATGGAGACTATTTCTGAATTTCTTGTGTTAAAAACATAACAGAGAACAGTCTTACTTGTCTGGTTTATGAAGAAAGAAGACTGATCTTTTTCCAGCTTTTTCCTCTACTGCAGCTTTTGCCTAAACAGTCTAGATCCCTTCTGTTCATTTCAAGAAGCTGTAGTAGACTAAATGTTCAAAGATTGGCAGACTGCCTTCAGATGATTATAAATATTTCATTTGTCTCTGGTTTTGGTAGCACTGTTGAATACTTGATTATGTCAAAACAAGCACTTATAGCTGATACTGAAAGATGCTGGCAACAAACACTGCTGCTCATAAATAACCTTCTCTTTACTGTGCAGTTTTGAAGTCTTGAAGTAAATACGGTTATTTGAGTGTAAAAAGACAGATCCAGGAATAATGTATCAGCTGTGATGAAAAAAGCACTTTGTGCCCTTATTTTCATATTGCTTGTTTAGAGTTAGCTACATAAAGGATGTTTACAGCATGCACTATTTAGATGCACAGAGTATAATAACATGATATTATTTTCCATCTTAATAAATAGTTGAAGAAAGAGAAACTGACTTGAAGGACAAATGCACAAACAGGCCCCCTGATTTCTAAGATGCTATGACGTACATGTCCCCTACTTGAAGTGGCTCTGGATGCTGGATAGTCTCTCCATTTAGTGGTTATATGGATGGGATGTCATGTGTTCTTCATAACCTTTCAAAATGTTTACAGCTGAAAATGGGTGCAGGTAAAATATGAAGGAAATTCTTTATGAGAAAAAGCACATAGGTACCTTAAGTAAGGAGAAGAGACTAGGGTAAATGCAAAAAACAAAACATGGGGAATTCAATTAAAACAGGTTAGATCTTCATCACTGAAGCACCCCCTTCTTAATAGCTAATATTAGCCCAACTCCCTTGCCATACATATATTAACCAGCTTGCCCATGTGTGATAGGAATATGCACAGCTGTACATTTTAATGCCTTACAGGGGTGACTGGATATGTGCCTCTGTCACTATGGGTGTCACAGTTGCCTCTCCATCTCTGTGTACAACCCTCCCTCAGGTTTTTCCTGGCACCTGTGCCTTGTTCTGAGCAGGTGAAATGCCACCAGTATTCCCTTGGCCCTGCAACTGGCCCGCTAAATCCAGAGAGAAGTGAGCAGGGGCTGCAGTAAGTCTAACTTTTGGCTCTGGAGCGTAGTAAGGGGAAGGCTGTCCCCTTGGGCAGGGCACTGCTCAGGCCTCTTCTCCCATACAAAGCCATGTGGTGGCTAAGAAAAATATTTAAAGTAGTAAATCCCATCCCAGATGCAGGTAGCTACTGTCTTCTTTTTTTCTGGGCTGCACAGTGCTCTAGTTATCTAAGTAGTGGTGTTTTGTGTGTCAGATTGACTGGAAATAGGAGTCCTGGGTATGTCCATGAGATGCAGTGTGGCTACAGGGCAAATCCAGACTAGAACTAATTGTGCCAGTCTTACGCTCAGTGCCTGAGATCAGACAAGCTTGACTGTCACTGCCTCCAGCTGAGTTCTGAAAAATCAAAACACTTCTGCTAGTTCCCCGAATGAAAGTAGGGGAGAAACACTGTTTTCTCATTAAAAATCCCTCAACGACCAATCCTCCAGCCTTCTTTTCTTTAAATATAGGGCTTTCCCTACATTTATACTACCAAATTTGGCAGGAGATGATCTTTGTCCCAGAGAAAACAGCTGTTTACAGCAAAGACATGTTTTCCAACCATCTGATCCCAGTGGGCCAGTATTTCTTGTGCAGTTTTTAAATCTAGTTTAGATCTCCTATGTATTTTAAAAGTATATATATATACATATCCTATATTTTCACATTTAGATTGAGCTGTACAAGCTCAGCTATTCTAAAACATTATTTGAATCTATTTTTTCTCATCACTATCTGATGCTCTTCTATCAGCTGGATATTCAGGGAGGCATTTCCATTTGACTACTGAAAATACAGTGTAGCAATTGTGTTAAATTGTCCAGTAGTTTTTAAATACGAAATGGAATTATTTAATGTTAAAATGTCTACTGCTTTTTCACATGCAGAAGTGTTATCTTTCTGTAGGCTACATGAAGTTGACCTATATTTTGCTGGAGGTCTTCCAGCATCTATAAACAGAAAATTTTTAAAGATAACACCTTCTAAAGGTAGGCTACAAAGCTGAAAAGGCAATGCAGCCTTTCATCAAAAGTATGTGGATAAATATAGTACATGATTTCAAAACTTCCCCTCCTAAGGAAACAATCTAAAGATGTGAAAACAGAAGGATATGTGCCAAAATCACACCCATAGTCACTCCACTTTTAAACATCTTTCCTTCCTTTTTTATGATCTATATTTTATCTATGCAGAGGGTAAACTCTTGCAAACTCCTCAAGACAGAGGTATTATCTAAACACAGAGCAAAAATGTGTTGCCTGATGCTTCTGTGTATATTGAAGATCTTTAGCTGTGGATGCCATGGCTAATTGGGGCTTTGCATTCCTTGATTAATATTTAACTTGTAGCATAGCTGCAGCTCACATGGAATCCTGAATTCTTCAGTCAGAGAAATTTCCCATTAGTCATGAAAAATTTAGTTCAAATAAGCAATACAGGATTGGACCATAATCTATTATTAATCCTTTCCTCAAGTTAAAGTAATTATGAAATAAACAGGTTCAATTCTTTAAAAAAAAAAAGTAGTCCTAAGTCTTTTCAGAAAGGATGAATTTTATTTTGCAATTGCCATTTTGCAGAAAACCATTACAAAACTAGACAGGAAAAATACTTCTTATTTTTGGGCAGACTAAGTTTGTGTTTGTTTTATTTACTTTTAGCAGGAACATTTCCACTGAAACTCTGGATAGAACCAACCATTCTAGAAGCCTAGAGTCATAGTTAACTAAAAAGAAACAGTGTCACCATATTATTTTGCCTTCATATGTACTTTGCACAGTCACTAAATATGTTTTTAACTCACAGTCTGATACATAACACATACATTATGCAAAAATACCTATATTACAAAGAGGTAGGTAAAGCTCTGACTATTTCCACTGCATTAGCATGTGCATGTTATGTGTCCGGCAACAGATGACATTTGACTGGGGTGGTTGGTTCCACCTTTAACTGTGTTCTATTCATTTATAGAGTTGTGTACATCAGTGTTCTTCTTCATCAGCCTAAACCTATCCATTCTAAACGTTTTTTGTTTGGTTTTTTTTAGGTAAGGTAAGGTTTGTGTGCATTCCATTACAGGGAGATGTCTTTTTGCTTATTTATGTTTGTAGTTTTACATGGATTTAGTTCCCTTGGGCATTGTTTACTCTCAAGTACTGCATTCCAGAGGCAAAGAGACCTTAAAGTGGACATAAATTATACTTGGCTGAGTACAAGACTCAGTCAAAATAATTTAAACTTTTGAATAGTGCCTGAAATTCTACTGGTACATCTGGGTTTGCTAAACGCACGCTGGGAGAAAGTTGAGGAATCAACCATAACCTCAGGAGACCAAATGTGCGAGTCTCCATCTAGAGTCAGTGGATAGAGGCTGTCTCCAAGATGAACCTCCCTGCAGATTTTGCTTTTCTTTGTTGGCTGCAAAGATGCTTAGGGAGAACCAGCCTTGCTATTCTGGAGTTAATATTCTCAAATGTTTCCTAAGAACTTTTTAATAATCCCTATAAAATAAGGTTAAGTACCCAAACCTTATCTATTCCCCACCCAATCTTATGCTGACTTCCATGTCCTTTCGATCAACCTTAATGTCCATCTCACAGAGCTACTGCACAGGAAGCTTTCTTTTAAATAATGCTTGTGTATAGCACTGAATGTACATTCTGTGTAGGGAATGAAGCTTGTTCCTCACTGTTACCACCAATGTGCTCAGCCATACAAACACACTGGAAGAGTGTTCCATAGATGTCTGCAGAAAAATGTATTCACACCAAAGCTTAAAAATAAAAATTGGCTGTTATTTTAGCATTTGCTACAACCTCCACTGGGATTCTGGTTTATACTGGCAATGCAGTGTGGTCTCTGCAGGTCTTCCCCTAGTGCCTAATGGAGATAATGAAAGTCTTCCCACTGCATTCGGTCACTTTCAGGTTTGTGTTTGTTTTGCTTCAGGAGCAACAGTGTTGATTGTCATTGCTGATCCAAGACCAATAGTCCCAGGTTGTTCATGCAGTCAATCCAACAGCTCAGCTTCTTAAATTCTATCTTTTTTCATCTTCCCCTAGGTTGGAAAAATCCACAAGAATGCTGCCCGCAAAAGAGAATACCACGTACTGTTCATGGTGATCACTACAGTTATTTGTTATCTTGTGTGCTGGATTCCCTATGGAGTTATAGCATTACTTGCAACATTTGGTAAGCCAGGTGTCGTGACTCCAGTTACAAGCATCATACCTTCCATCCTAGCAAAAAGCAGCACTGTTTGCAATCCCATTATCTACATACTTATGAATAAGCAGGTAAGACAAATATTACTTTTAAATTGTATTTTCTTCAGGGTCTATCAGGCATTCTTGACCATTGTGACTACCAGTCCTAGAGATGTGTCTTTACAAGAAGGACATTCAAAGCTTGTCCAAGCAATACTACTGGAGTCTTGGGGTGGAAGTGTTTGCAAATACGAACATATTGCTAGATAGGAGGAACAGAAAACTGCTTGCTTATTGACCTTGCTTGTGTTCTTTTGAAGGCACAAGGGGTATTAATTTGCATGCTTCAGTGTTTTGCATGCTTGCCAAAGGTATTTACAAGAAGAATACTCAAACATTTGGTGAGGTTGAGAAGTGGGAGAAAAGATGGACAAGAAGATGATGGGATTTCATGAACTTGAAAAAAAATAAAGGAGGACACCATTTGAAAATACCATTTTCATGACAGATCCTCTTGAAAACAAATGATCATTGCAGTTACTGTTTTTGTGGACTTCTGCATTCTTATTGTTAAATTCCCAGTTCAGCTACATGCCAAAATAGATAATGAATTTTGTCTCATGACGACCAAGGCAAATTCTAAAATGCCTAGATCCAGTTCAGGTCCTTCATTTCTGTAAATGTCATTTTCAGTACTCAAAATGAGCTTCCTAATGCTTCTGTGTTGATAATTCTGACTCTAAAGTTTGATAATGGCAGATCTGGAAGTTTTCAAAGTGTTTTGCAGTTGGAAATCTGAAAAATATGCACAGTTTATGAAAACACCTTACCTTTTTTTTAATTAAAATACATGTTAGAGGTTGTTCTCAGTTTTCTTTCGTCATTATATCCATTACACTATTACAAAGCAAAGAAACACCCTTTATCTTTTCTTGCCCAGTGTATGCTGGAGCTTAACTTGATATTTATCAGCATTATATTATTATGGAGCTGAGACAAGGGAGAAGTTGAATATAACAGCCAAATATATTCCAGTTTTGCCACAGCCTGAGATCATTTTTGGCATGCTTCCTCTAACCCAAAGTTCTTAAACAACAAAAGAATCTGTTCCTGGAGTTTGAGGGAAAGATCTCAAGCAAGCTGTGAAACCTCTCTGAAATTAGAAGGAAAAAGTACTATTGCCTTTCCCAAGACCAGGACTTCATTTCCAAAGTCTAGTCTGAGCTGATGTTGAAACAGATAGAGCATTCCATTTGAAAAATACTAATGCAGAAGCAAACCAGTAACTTTTTCTCCTTCCCCTTACCTTTTTTAATTCTTATGGAAACTTCTAAAGAGCATTTGTCTTGCTTCTTTATTCTCTGAGCACTTTGAGAACCTTGACTTCCATGAGATCATCTGATTGCGCTGGGATTGCTGGAGCAGACTATAACATTGATCACAGGTACATTTTGGCATTGTCTTTACACATGGAGATGTGACAATCCTGTCTTAAGGAGGGGAGCTGGATCAGATTTGGGATAAATACTTTTCACTAATAAAACCAAAATGATAGCTAATGTCCAGCATTAACCTGCAGTTCTCCTCTGCTGTGCCACTGTGTATTAGCAGTAAAAATAATTGGTTTGAACTGACACTGAGAAATGTGCTTCACTCAGAAAGGGTGTTCCTTTCAGAACAGGAACAATAGTAACACCCTCATCCAATGCGTCAGTGGTGCTCTTGGCACCTCAGCTACTCTGTAGTTGTTCTCACTCTTTTTTTGTAAATTTAACACCTCAGCAAAAGAAGTTGTTAATCTTCCCAGTTCTCAGCTTTCCTGGTCTTCATACTTAGCTGAGAATTGTCACAGGAGACTGGTGTCTCCCAACACAGAAATTATCTGGCCTGCATTTTTCCCAGCCCTCTCTTTGCAGATGTGAGATACCACAGTAGGCTATTTAGTCCTGCATCTCATAAATATACGGAGAACATTTGGCATAATTTTTAGCTCTCTATGTGTAAGCTAACTTTTTTGCTCTGGGACATGCCCTCAAGACTGCAAATGACATTGGTTGACTGTAGCTGTAGTGTTATCTTCCAGCTATTATAAATCTGTGAGGAGTACTGTGGAACTGTCAGCCTCTGAGTCAGCCTCAGAACTCATCCTGCAGAGCACATTGTTAAATTAATTCTCAAGCAGTCCCTGAGTCTCTTGCATGGTCCTGGAACCCCAGATAAAAAGTTTTGTCTTTGCCATTGCCTACTGCAATGACCTGAGGTGATAAATTGCTTAGGAAAATTATAAATTTCTTTCCAGCTACAGGAACTCCCTCAGGTGGGATGGCATGAGGTGTCCTTCTTCATCTGCTGTTCTCCAGGAGGACAGAGATGCACTGTTTAAGCTGGAAATCACTGGTCAGATTACAAGTCACAATCTTTGCTGATGTAAAATAGACTTGCTTCACTGCAGCTCATGAGCTTTTCGTTAATTACTTTTGTATTTTTAGTAGTGCACTTAAGTCTCCCTGGATTACTGAAACTCAGGCTAGCACATCTAGTACTCTTTTGCATATTACAATTGGGAAGAAGTCCACCCAAACCATGTGATCAGCAATGTGCTATTTCTGGTGTCAGAAAGTGCCTCTGAGCAAAAGTAAGGAGAGAGAGTGTGAAGGAAGGGATGTATTAGATGTGAATATAAGTCCACAATCAGTGATTTGACTCCTAGTCTCTGTCTTCTTGCATTAAAATAATTGCACTTTTAGAAATAGAAGGTGACCCTGTCATTTTCCCCAAGGATTTGGAAAAGTGATGCTGAAAAGAATATACACACTCACTTGAAAGTCATTAATACTGTGCCCTTTCCAAATTTATCATGTATTGAGGGGTGCTGGGTGAGGGAGAAATTATATAGAAAGAATGACAAAACAAAGCCAAATGCAAAGACTTCTTTCCTGACAAGATTTAAATAATAATAGTGATGTATGTAAAGAGTGTTCCTCAGTGGGACCTGGGCCCAGCATCACACACATCAGACACCTCCCAGGCACCTCCATTGTGACTGTGACAGTCCCCAGGGAAGCTATACCACCACCACCCACCTCTCACCTAATGAATGCCTTGCTACTTGGGGCAGCCCCCTCTTCCAGGGCCTTTGTGGAACTTCCCTGCCAGCACATGAGGAACAAGGAGTCCTTCTTTCTTTAATGATAATCTATTTGTTCTCTGTATATGCAGTTTTATACCAACCCTTTTCAGTCCTTCTTTATCTTACCTGATGCACTGAGTAGGGAGAAATGCACATGTGCTTTGGGACAGATACATGTGATAGTGATAAAAAAAATAAATAACCTTAACATTTATCCACTAGCTGTATAACAGCTATATTTTCAATCAATTTTCATGTGGTATTGTGTAGTTTTCAGTATTTCCAACAAAATTAAAATTAACATTGTTAAAGCTGGAGGAATATGTGGGTAATTTAACATCGTATTTTTTAAGCTGCTCATTTTCACACTTGGAAAACTAAGATATTTTAGCTGCACAAGGAAACAAAACTACAGATCCAGAAAGACAGTACACAATGCAGGGACAATTGTGCCAAACCTCATTTTATACATAAATTGGAACACACCTATTAAGTCCTAAAAAGAGACTCTGTTTGCTTAGTTCATTACCTTCAAGACGTTTGTGGGCTTACCATAAGAATCATTATCCTGTTATAATTTTTCATTAAAATTCACATAGATGTCAATACTCATGATCTGGGGTTTTTTTATCTCATCACTGGTAGCTTGGCTGATTTGGGGTAATTAATAGTCCAAACAGAATGGCACACCCAAGCTCTTAAGTCAAAAATGGGTCAAGTCAAAATGATCTTTTACTGCAGAATACTCTACACTAAGTATAATACTGCAGTACATTTCAGAAATGTTTTGACTTTATTTCTCTGCCAACATGTAGTGTTATGACTTTTTAAAGTTGAGGGGCAAAGAGAAGAAAAGTCTCAAGGGCACCTTTGCTGCTGTCATAAGGTATAATTACATTTCACACAGTAAGTTCAAAATTACTTTAGGAATTTCTCTCTCAGCTCATGAGAAAAAGATCAATTCAGGTAAATTACCTGGGCATTTAACTAGGGTCTCAAGCAGCCCTAGCCAGCCTTCATGCTGCCCCAGGCTACATCCTTGGTACAACCTGTCTGAGTATGTTGACATGAGCTTAGCCCTATCCTGCCTGTCCTGTGGATGCTCAGGGCGGGGACTGGAATGGCTTCAACATCACAGAAGGTTTAGAACTTGCTTCTTCAAGACCCAGGGCAAAAGAAGGAAGCAGGCAGCCAGACCACCTCTCATGCAAGCAAAATACTGAATAAAGTTGGAAACTAATACACATGAATGAACACAAACACAGGATAAGCACAAGTGTTTTAAACTATATAATGATTTACGATTTATGGCTAGGGAATGCACTAAGGGAAATTGCATCCAGTTAAAAGATCCTACTTTCTGGAAGACACAGAAAGTGAAGGGCAGCAATATCTCTTTATATATAATTTCAAACAGCATCTAATATATTGATGTCTCTTCCTGTATTGCTCTTTCTATAGCACCAGAGAAATGTGAGGCTTCACAAAAGTGGGAAGAGATGTCCACATTAGACAAAGGAAAGGGTCATTTAGAATAAGTCCCAGTGTCATTTAGAATAAGCCCCCAACATTTTGATCTATTTGGACTAGCCAAATTTCAGACAAAAATATAGCTGTACCTCAACTTAAGAGATCATATCCATTCTAGTGCATTTTCCTTGAGATTAGCTTAGAAAAGAGGGACCATTGTCCCAACTGTTTCCTGACAACCTTGCAGGCAATTCTGGTCAATAGAAAGGGTCATAGTCATACTTACCCTAGAGGAGACAGGGAAATCAGTGTTAACTGCAGTGACTGAATGACATGAGATTAACATTGCTGCCTGTTTGGGAGGTAGCAAGGAAATATCTGTAGATGAGATTTGACATCTAATATCACTGTCATCATACAAAAGGCAATAAAACAACAAACTCTTTAAGGATTCAAAGAATTTGTAGGGTTGCACATCTCAAATTTTCTCCAGTACAGGGAAAACAGCTTCGGTCAAATTGTTTGCACTTGCCTATAGTGATCAGCCTATAGTTGTGCTGGCAGTTTCAGAAGATCATTTACAATCAGCTGTTTTTCATAGACTTCCATCTGTAATATTATACCTACAGGGTAGATTGATAGATAACAGAAGTTTCCAGTATCCAGAGCTTACCACAGAGCAAGGAATGTGGTATGTTCACAGCTAAATAAAAGGTGTTCAGATTTTTGTAAGCAAGGCCCCTTGGTAGCCTGTTTGCCCTTGCAAGTAGACATCAGCAGAAACTCAACAAAAGTGGTATTTCTTTGCTGTCTTCACCTGTACATCTATCTGCAAGGGAAAGTCTGGATGGTCAAGGGCTCAGTCAGTCCTAAGATAAATGCAGGGAAAAAATGGATGAAGTATTAATGATTGTGCTGTTTCTCACTTGCCACTACTTTGGTGTGATCTAGAAGTTGTGTGAAAGTACATTTTGGGTTTTTTTCCTGAATTTATTTCCAAGTTTGGTGTGGGCAGCTAAGGTCCTTGAAGGGCAGCTCCAGTCTGAACTTGAGCTACTCTTAAAAATGGCATTGCCAAGCCACACTGAACAGATGTCACAGGATCTTCTGTTGGAGTGACCTCAGCTGCAATGCCAGATCAGGGATCAGACTGAATTTTAGCCCATGCCTTGGTTTGGTTAAGGTCAAGCATTAATTTAGCCTCAGAATTCTAATACATTAGAATTGAATTGAAATATGTTTTTCTATAACATGTCTATGTTTTATAAGTAGGACTCCAGATTTGTACTTGCTACAACTTACCATTTCAAAGCTGAATGCAAGCATAGGTCATCTGAAGAAAACGGAATGCAATATTCTCTAATACTATGCAACGTATTAGATAAAGAATTTAGTTGCTTTATGAGGACAATCAAATTCAACAGATGAAAAAGATTTGAAAAAGTAAGCATAACCCTGGAGGTGACAGAACCTCTAATTTTCCACTCCTGTTCAATAACTGAGTAATCTCTTGTCTTGTGGCAGCGGCATAATACTAAAATCTTAGTCAGAGCAGGATGTTTTTCTACATATTGTGGCAGTTAAGTTTACTTCTCAGAGTTTTACTGTGTGTACCAGGCATATCTTTGCAGTCATGTATCTAGCTAACAATTCAAGCAACAATCTTTTCAGATTAGATGGATGGAGAAAAAAAAATGAGTTTTCCTAGACAGAGAATATTTTTCAGCCTTTATGTAACCTCCCCTAAACAAATACTTTTAATTGAGTTAATCCTCGGTATCCTTGCAAAGCAGATGATTATCATCATCCTAGTCTTACAGGAGGAGAAATTTGAGGATTAGAGGTTAGATTAGGGCTCAAACCCTCCTGGACTTGCTTGGCAATTCTAATTCAGATCTGTAGAACTTTATTTTATGATTTAATCCTGATGTCCTTCTACCTTCGGGGCAAAAAAGCTGCTGTACTCAAAGAAATAATGGTTGCCACAGTATGGGAAATACAATATAAAACTGTACTGGGCCTCTAATTCATTAGAATAATTCTCTTTCCATTATAAACTGCATTATTTAATGCAATTGAGAAATTTGACTGTGTCCAAATGAAAATACATTTGAGGTTCACTGTCTTTTGAAGTAGAAGCTGCTACAGAGCTTTGTTCCTCTGATGTTTAGTATAGTAACTGCTGTCAAACTAAATTTATTTGTAGACAGTTTACAAACCTTTATTTCTCAAAGAGTCTTTCTTTGGTAGTTGTCTTTTCTTCATACTGGGACACCATAAACACTTCACTTTCTGTCCCCATATTGCTAGCATGAACTAGTTTAGTTTCATAATCTCATGCTTGAAACAACTATTCAAATTATAAGCCTTTTGGTAATCATGCTTGGGACTGTGTATTTCATCAGGGAAACCTTTTAGGCATTCACTGGATGTTAGTAGAGGACCAACAGTTCAATGTAGTAGGAGTTACTCTTGTTTTGAGTTCAGATTCTGAAGATAATAATAATAGAATTAAACACCGCAAACCAGACAGAAACAAGAAATATCAGCTCTACAGTAACTTCTTAAATCCCTTTATCTAAATTAGAATCAGACTTTCAGAAATGGGTTTTATAGAAATATGCAGGGGTCCACTACATACAGTACAGCTATCCAATCTGACCTTGAATGTTTCCAGGGATGAGGCATCTACCATCTCTCTGGGCAACCCGTTCCAGTGTTCCACCACTCATTGTAGAAAATTTCTTCCTTATATCTAGTCAAAATCTACCCTCTTTTAGATTAAAACCATTACTTCTTGTCCTACTGCTACAGGCCTTACTAAAAGCCTGTCCCATCTTTCTTGTAAGGCCACTTTAAATACTGAAAGGCCACAGTAAGGTCTTCCCAGAGCCTTCTCTTTTCCAACAACCCTAACTCTCTCAGCCTTTTCTCAGAGATGCTCAAGCCCTTTGACCTCTTCATGGTCCTCCTCTGGATTTGCTCCAGCAGGTCCACATCCTTCTTATGTTGGAGGTCCCAGATCTGGATGCACTACTTCCAAGTGGGGTTTCACCAGAGCAGAGTAGAGGGGGAGAATCACAGGTTCATGCTGCAGTCAAGACAGCAAGTCGAATTAATCATCCTGAGACATGTCTTTCAGCCAGATCACAACAGGCAAGCTAATAATGCAGATAAACAGACCAAAATACCAGTATTAAGTTTGACCTATCAGTAGATTTACGCCCCTAAGAACTGCTCAAGTGAAACACAGCTGGTTTCTATGCATACACAATAAAAGATCCCTCCATCAAAGGCATGTTGTTCAGACCAAGGCAGTGCAATTTCAGGAATAAACATGAAAGTGAGTTGCCTTCAAGGCTCCCTATCAGAAAGGTAGTGTTGCATCTCCTATACCTGTACTGCTAAAGAATAGCGAGTACAGCAAGATGTTCTCTGTACCCCACACAATATAGTTCATGGATGTCAACCTCCTACTGAGGTACAGGTTTGAATGCAGTGAGACAAGAATGTCCTCTCTCGTTATAGACAGTGAAGTTGACTGAGCATTTTAATAGATGGAATACAGTGATCATGTTTTGTTGTTGTTTTTTAAATGAAAAAAAAAACAGAAACCCAAAGTTGATGGATTTGAAAAGCATCAATTAGTTGCTCTGTTTGTGCATCCCAGCATTCCGTTTATCCCCTAGTGTAGCTCATTGTTCTGAGTTTTCTGAGAGGTGTTACTTGCATATTATGACATACAGTAATTATCCCCTCAACACTGCCTGCCAGGACATGGTGTAATACATAGGATGAGCTGCACAATTACTGGCTGCCAGGGGCATACACAATGGCAATCCAACTTTTATCATTCCACTAATGCGTAACCAGCTTTATTGTCGGCATGGACTCAAGGTGACTCCCTGGGATGAAAACACTGACTAGCACCTCCATTGGCCCAACTCCAGCCACTGCAGAGTTGAAAGACTACCAAAAGTAGCAGAATGCCTCACATTTAACATATGTAAGCAGACCTGCAGTGGTTGAATTATGTGGTATTTCATCCCAGACTGAATGACAAGTTACATTTTCCCTTTGTTAAGTTGGTTTTCATTTTAATGAATAACTTATTAAGAAGTCTGTTCTCTTATGAGAATGGATTCCTTGAATGGGTGGCACAGCCATTTAGCTGAAGTGTACCAGCATTTCAAGTACACCATCAAATCATTGGAGCGTGACCTCCTTAAAGAGCTCTTGAAATCTACTGCCAAATATAGAGCAGTATAGTGAATATATTCTCCCAGGGAATCCTGGTGCACCTGCTCAGGTACATATGTTCATTTTAGAATAAAGCTGGCTTTACAATATTTGCCTCCTTTCTGTAGTTTACTGTGATAGCTACTTGTCAGCCTAGCTGTCCGTTTCCATTTGAGATTTCACTGAAATTGTGGGCAGAACTGACAGGCACCTTCCCTCTTTTGTTCCACCAGCAGTTCAGTGTCATTCCTTTAAGGTAATATGGAAACACCAGCACTCGTAAACAAATGAAAACAAATGTTTTATTTACAGGAAAAAATCTGTACACTGTGCATACATAAAAATATACAAAATCATAATAGAAAATATAAAAAGTGTTAAAATGTATACAAACACTGCTTAAAAATGTGACTCCTGTAAAATCTTAAGCTTTGTTATTAGAGTACACATTCATTTAAAAAAATCATCATATAAAATAATTCTCAAAGCTATTAAAAAAGTACACAGTCTATATTTGAATAGTTCAATGACTACATATTATAAGAGTGATGAGATGATATAAAGAAAAGTAAGGCTTTTACACACAACTCTTATTTCAAGAACAAAATTCTGAATCTGATCACTAAGCCAGAGAGAAGACATCTGCAGTGTCAAAATTCATTCAATGATGCAGGTATGCCCAGACATGGGCTACAATAAATTTCAAACAATTAAATCAGGTATCTGCTTTGTGCTGGCAAAGATTCAGATGCTTTCTAGTGACAGGCTTCTGAATTACCTACTTCAAAGAACAATTTCATTTATTCAATACACATCAACTTTAGAGAGCACGAAGGGAAAAATAGTAGCCATTTATTTTTGCAGTCAATTCATTTAACACTCCTTTCATGGTACATCTGTGTCACTGTCCAAATGGCATTTTCCATCCTTAAAAACTGCTGAAGAAAAAGGAAATTAAAACCCCCACTACGGATTGGTCTACACGTGTGTTTAAATTTCTGTTTCATGAAATCAGTTTCTAAAATGACTGTATTCAGTCTGTGCAACAGAGTGTGAGTGTAGACACTTGTCTTCATTTAAGAAAAAGACTGTCTTGGGTTTCCTGACACTGGCAACTTATAGCAAAAAGTTCAGAATTTGGATCTCTTCACCAAAGAAAATGTCCTGACTAAAGACAAGCAACGCTTAACTTAAATTTGTACAGTAAGACTGTAGATTAGAGTGTTTATATCACCCCCCTTCCTCTCCAAAGGTACATTATTTCTTATATATTGTTAATGTCAGTGAATTTACCAGAGTTTCTATGGCATAAAACTGCACAGCAAGGTAAAAAAAGATGTAGCAGTTTAATCCAGGGAATGACTGACTGAACTGTGAGTTTATGCTGTAGTAACCTTTAGAATTATAGAGAAATAGAACAATTTAATGTTTTTTTCTAGTAAAAAGATTTTGACCCAAAATGAAGCAAAAGATTTTTTTTTTCTTGAATAAACAGAAGAATACCTTGATTTAACCATCCAAAGGCTGAACGCATAAAATGATAGAGGACCACAAGTCAGAAAAGCTATAGAATTCACAGTGGGGAAAAAGGAGCATAATGAAATTCAGCATAAACTCAGCACATTTCCTTAAGCTGCTGCTGTGTTTCTGGTTTGTTTCAGCTAACTTCAGCTGTTGTCCAGAGCACCAGGGCACAGCAATGAGGCTCCACAGTGTTTGAAGGCAACTTGTTCCTACTTGTCAGTAAAACTCCATATATTTAAAACCTGCAACAAGTGTGAAGGGAGCCGAGGGGTCCAATAGCAGAGGCAATTGCTTGGCTGATGATGCACCTCACAAGCTGGGTTTGTGCAAACCTCTCTTGTTTACAGTGCTGTTCTACTCTGTTAGTGTGCGACAACCACACTGAAGAGCTACAAAGCCATGCCTGTATCTTTTCCCCAAAAAGCCCCATGATCTTGGTGAGAAAATGCACTTCCTCTAACATTCCTGCGTTTACTGTATAGATATAAAAGCAGCACTCTTCTATTATTTTTAAAAGATACACAGTTCAGTATTGTTGCACGCTCATTGTTTTAAATTTACTGAACACAATTCTTTGTAAAGATCTCTCTGCCCTCACAAGGGATGAGGACATGCCCATTAATGCAGAAATACTTGGTGGGCTCTCATAAAAGCAACAATGCCAATGCGACAGAGTGTAAGCAGTGGTGGAGGGAGCACCTCCACAGGTCCTTTATGTTTCCCCTTTATTTCTGCCCCTTCCACCCTTGCAGCAAGTGGAGGTGAGCCCTCAGTTAGCAGTTCAAACACAAATTTTTTTGTAGGCATTACAATTTCTCTGGGGTATAGTCTTTCAAACATTAAGTAAAAAATGCTTACATCCTCTTCTTTTTGTCAGAAAACTCTCTCTACTGTCTTAACAGCAGTAACTTGTGAACTTGCACTTGTGCCAAAAACCGAAGGAGGACAAGACAAGGTAGGAGAGAAAATGCTCTTTAAGCAACTACAAGGTGTTTGACCAGGTAGACCAGTGAAACATCACAGTGTAAACCAGTGTTGGGAAGCCACACCAGGGATGCTTATTTTTTAAAGATGGCACCCCAGGTTGGTCTTCCTCCTCTGTGAGCAAGCATTTGCAGCACAGCTCTGCGGCATCTTCTGAGGTGATGGTGCTACAGCACCCACGTTTGCACTTGTGGAAGGACAACTGACTGCCATACAATAAGGATACGGCAAAGAAAAGATTTTGGCTGTGAGGGCTTGAATGTGCGGTCCAGTAAATTAAAAATATACAGTTCATTTTGTAACATCTCATACCTGGTTCTGCATTGGTATATAAATGATGTAATAAGTAGGTATGCTTAGCACTTGTTAGGTGAAACTTTATAATTTTCCTTGTTCTGTACAACAACTATGTTGATTATTCTGACAAATTTTTGAGGGAGTAATACTACATAATCCTGCTGTGGGTAGTTGAGCAATGCAGTTAGTATTTTTCTTTGCAAAAATCAAAGTTAAAAGTTAGTGGTTGCAGGCCAAAGTGATATTCACTTTTTTCCTTTGGAACTTGAGAATTTGCTGCTTATTGAAAAGTAGCATATTCACTAGTCTTAGAAAGCTAATCAACTCCCTTCCTTTACAAACATGTCATAGCTAACACAGTGTACAGCAGAGAGAGACCTGTTTGACTGCACTGTTCAGACTTTGAATGTTTTGCAAACAGGGTACCAAACATATGGAAAAAGAGATTAGTTCTATGTAGGTTATCTATTCCCCACACATTAAGTAACAATGTTATTAACTTTAAGAATAAAAGTTGCCACCATATATAACATTAAAAAGAAATTGGTATGTAATATATCCAGAGTCTAAGGCTAATATAAGTAAAACCTATTCATTTTGGCATGTACCAAAATGACTTATGGACATAACAATCCATACAGCACAGAAGTACAGTTATTAGATCATCTGGACATAATTTTTGTCAGTAAGAATCTTAAGATCATCATAAAGCCCTAAAAGGAGGCTAAGTCCTATGTAAAACACACATTCTTTGTTTTAGAAGAAGGAAAATAATGCTTCCCAAAGAGCAGACTGAGAGAAAAAGGATTTTGTGATTATACTTACATTACAATTGAAGATTAAATAGTCATTATTGTTGTTTGCATTCTTTTGCCTTTCTGGCAAAAGTCTTTTTGTTTAAGTAAAAACACAAAAAATACTTTCCACCACAACCACTCAGCTATTCTTTTCAATGTTTCTTTGAGCTGTCTGCTTTTTTACTGAATGGATACGAGTAGGATATAGCTGTGCTTTTGTATACACACGTTTCTGCTAAACTTACTCTAAAAGAAAGAGTACAGTTGTGTGGGAAAAAAACCCAAACAAAATACTGAAAAAAAACCCATTTACATCCTGCCACTTGAAAAATCTGAAACAGAAGTCTTGGGAAATAAGGAAAATAAGGTTTTAAATATATTAGCAATCGGGCGTATTTTTAGAACTGCCTTAGAGAATATTCTCATTGTGTGTTTTGAGTGAAAATATCAAACTATCTCCATATGCAATCTGTAGTCAGGCTTTTTTGAGGCATTACAGCTTCTCTGGGGTATAGTCTTTCAAACATTAAGTAAAAAATACTGATATCGTCTTCTTTTTGTCAGAACGCTCCCTCTACTTTCTTATCAGCAATAAATTGTGATTAAGTGACTTTGATTCAGATACCAATGAAATACTTAACAAATAATGTCTATATTCCTGTATGCTATCTTTGTTGCAGAAAGGTGACCCCCCTCTATGGTTGCTTTCAGTGTGATGTGTGAGTGCTGCACAGCCTCCCTTGGCTTTCTCTGGATATTCTGTATTGTGCAGACTGGGGGAAGGCAGCATGCCCATCTCAGACCTTCCTGATAATACTTTAGTTTCTCTTCCTAAATGGGTTACAAATATGTTTGTTTTTCTCTAAAGAAATGAGATATTTCTCTCTTCCCTCTGCAGACAGTGTGAGCATAGGAGTCTGGCATGAGAAGTACATCCAGTAGTTTAATGGGTTTGGCTGTGTGTACAGCCACCTCTGACTGCACTGACTTCACAGCGACCGTAAGGCCCCTGTACAGCTGGAGGCCTGTAACTGAGCCTGCATATGAGCAGGCATTACAGTCTACTCCAGTTAATGACTGCATAGCTTGGAGTAGCAATTACTTCATTTTGGGAGAGTCTGAAAATCTTACAAAGCCATGGGAAACACTGCATTGTTCAACTGGCCGTTCTGTACATACATGAACAATAGAGGCTGTTTCACAATGTCAGGTTTGACAGTTAAATAAGTTCATTAAAAAAAATTACAGTCTAGCATATGTGGCATAAGAGACCACCGACAAATTCTGACACTCACACCAACAACGATACATTATATTTCTGCCTAAGTATGTCCTTTGCACCTTCATGAGCTAAGCCTTTGTTTTCTTTTTCTGTAACTATTTGCAAAGCAGTAATAAATACTCAGGCTCAGAAAAGAAGTATTTCTCATGCCTGCTACTTAATTACAATTTATAGACTCAAGACTAGATTGGTCTAAGATACGTTTTTTCAAGTATTCTCTTCTTGTTTATAGTACGACAGTAGTACCTTATTGCACATTGTTTCTGAAGGACTTACTTCTACAAGTGTGAGAAATTTCTTTTGGGGCACTTGACAGCTTTGAACCCTGGCAAAATGACTTTCCCCTTCCGATACAGATCATCCTGCAAACCTTTGTTCATCCTCTGCACCAAGAGCTTCTCGTAGAGCAGTGGATGGTAGGCCCCTAAGGTACAAGCTGCATCGTAGTAGAGTTCGTGGTAGTGACATAGGTCGGTCTGCCGGACTGAAGGGATGTATTCGTATACATGTACTTCATTACACATGGACATCATGATGAGGATACCTGGAGCAAGAAATGAAAACAAAAGTGAACCCCAGGCTTCATTTTCCTTGCAGAATTTTTCCTGCAGTCATCCAATCTCCTTTTTCTTTCCTGCTTTCCTTTGTTGTTGTACACCTTAAGTACTAACTCTGTAAATTAAGAGAAGCAACAGTTCCTTTTATTAGAGCGGCTTTCGCTTGTTCCTCATACATAAAGATTTCGATCCCTAAAGAAAGAGTAAAAAGCCTATATGGATTTGCATTTTACCATCAGCCTCCTGAGTGAGAAGACTGCTCTTTCCCACCTCCCCCCATTTACCTTATGTATGGTCCACAAAACATCCCACACAAGAATCCTTGAAACATCTCCACCTTATTACAATGTTGGTCTTTCTTAGTCTGAACTTGAATCAATTCCACTTTTCCATCCACTTGCTTCTCTCTAAGCAGGAACACATAGCCAAGAAGGAAGTCTAACTACATGCAGAAGGGCATATAAAGAAACATCACCCATACAGTGGTGGCACAGAAACCCACAGCTTCTGACAATTCTGTGAAAAGTATCATGGAGAGATGGTAAAGAAGGCGAATTTCTACTTAGAGCAGTGCTGTCACAACAAAAAACCCCTGACCACCTCCTGCTCAGCAAGGAGAAATCCACAAAATGACAGCACATATTTATTTCCTGCCACATGTCAATGGCTGAGTATAATCAGCACTGTCAACTGTGGTCTTATAGCTTTGAAACAAGAGAAATCTTACTATTACAGCTGCACATTTTCAAAGGGACTAATACCAGATACTGATCAACAGCACTGCCTAAACTGCAATACTTTCACATCAATCACAGCTTCTGGAAGCCTTTTCTGTTTCACATAGCCACGTGAAAGGAAAATAACATGAATTAAGTCTTGGACACCATTTATTTTTTTAAAGATTTCACTTAAAAAATAAATTTGTGTAGAAAATGTATTGAAACACTTGTTGCTCTACTGGTATCCCTATCTGCTGAATATGACTGTCAGCTCTCAGAGGAGGTAGCTGTATAATTCTGCTCACTTGGCACTTAGAGATGAGAACTGATGTAACTCTTGTTACATCAGAGGTGTTTTGGGTAGATCACAGAATATGTTGAGTTGGAAGGGACCCACAAGGATCATCGAGTCCAACTCCTGGCTCTGCACAGGACCATGCCCAAGAGTCACACCATGTGCCTGAGAGTATCATCCAAACACTTCTTGAACTCTCTCAGGCTTGGTGCTGTGACCACTTCCCTGGGGGAGCCTGTTTCAGTGCCCAACTACCCTCTGGGAGAAGAACCTTTTTCCAATATCCAACCTAAACCTCCCCTGACACAACTTCAAGCCATTCCCTTGGGTCCTGCCACTGGTCACCACAGAGAAGAGATCATTGCCTGCCCCTCCTCTTCCCCTCACGAGGAAGTTGTAGACTGCAATTAGGTCTCCCCTCAGTCTCCTCTTCTCCAGGCTGAACAGACCAAGTGGCCTCAGCCACTCCTCATATGACTTCCCCTCAAGGCCCTTCACATCTTTGTTGCCCTCCTCTAGACACTCTCTAATAGCTTAATATCTTTCTTATATGGTGATGCCTAAAACTGCACACAGTATTCAAGGTGAGGCTGCACCAGTGAAGAGCAGAGCAGGGCAATCACATCCCTCTAACAGCTGGGGATGCTTTGCCTGATGCTCCCCAGGACATGGTTGGCCCTCCTGGCTGCCAGGGCACTGCTGACTCGTATTCAACTTGCCATCAACCAGGACCCCCAGGTCCCTTTCCATGGCACTGCTTTACAGCATCTCATTCCCCAGTCTGTCTGTACATCTGGGATTGCCCCATCACAGGTGCAGAATCCAGCACTTTCCTTTGTTGAACTTCACATGGTTGGTGATTGCCCAGTCCTCTAATTTGTCGAGGTCTCTCTGCAGGGCCTCCCTCCCTTCAAGGGAGTCAACAGCTCCTCACAGTTTTGTGTCATCTGCAAACTTGCTTAGTATCCCTTCCATTCCTGCATCCAAGTCATTTATGAAGATGTTGAAGAGCACAGGACCCAAGATGGAGCCCTGTGTTACGCCACTAGTGACTGGTCACCAGTCTGACATTACCCCATTCACTGTTACCCTCTGTTCTTGACCTGTGAGCCAATTGCTCACCCACTGCATGATGTGTTTATCTCAGAAGTGAAATGAATTAAAGAAAAAAAATCATTCTGGTTCATTAATTAAGCAGAGTCATTTTCTGAAGTTTAGTCTGCAGTTTGGGAACACAGAGATTTCAATGGCTTGCTAATGAAAAGAACCCTATGTTCTCCCTGCTGTGTATCATTAGATTATCAAAATGATTTTTTCCCTGCCTGATGTGTGAAGTAACCGAAAACCAATTACTTCCGTGATTAAATCTTCTTTTATCATAAACTAAAGGTTCTGAAAATCTTTTATATTGTTCTACAGCTTTACCCTTTAGAGAATCTATGGTCTTGGAAGAGCTAAGTGTATCAATTTTAAAGAAGTTAACAAATTTAAGTGAACTTCAGTCTTAAGCAGCAAGAAACACATATTCACGGTGAAAAAATATTTAGCCCCTCTTTGAGAAAAAAGTACAAGCTTAATAAACCATGTTTCCTTGCCTTGAAGGTGTTATAGAGATGCTATGAATTGTAGCCTGCCAAGCACCTAGGTCTTGAATTGTTTTTTTGTTGTTTCAGTTTTACAAATGCTTTCGTCAGCTTTTCCACTGCCAATCTCCTTCCTCCACTAATGGAGAGCCCACCTGCCACTCCAAGGTAACTGTTATCCAGCTGAATCAAAGGACGGATGGCGGAAATGTGTGCAATAATGAACCATATCCAGAAAGAGACAGTAAAGTGACTTCTCTCCTGCACTCAGAGCTAAGCCTGGAGCCAATTTCAAAAGCTATACCACCACAGTCTTAGGAAAATTGGCTCTGATGGAAAGTACAAGCCTTAACCAAAGTGTGTTTTATTTCATTGCCACATCACTAAGCTTACTTTAAAAGTAATAAAGGAAGTTGCCATTTGTGGGATTGGAAAACTGTCAAGAACAAAAATTGTGACTCTTTCATAATCTCCTTAATAACAGTAAAGATAGACACATAACTGCCAGGTATGGTTCCATGATGACAAAATTTTAAATGGTATCATTGGCTTTCCTGTAAATTAATTAAAGGAGGACTTACAAGTGGTAGAGTTTTAGTTTTTAGTGATCTTTGGTTCAGTGCCCTCCAGAATCAATCTAAAAGGCACCTTCAGTGATCTTAAGAATTTTTTAAATTGCCAATAGCTTTTTGGCACTTAAATAACCCCCAAAATTTTTTTTTTTACATTATGTTCAAACTTTTGTGTGTTGGATGCAGTCTTAAAGATAAAGAAGAGGTATGTGCCTGACTGCTTACTGACTTAATCTTGGTTCTGTTAACCCATTTTGCTTGGCCATCTATTCTGAGAAGTCCTATGTTGCTTTCTATTTGTTATCTGTACACATCTCTTTCTGTACTATTGCTTCCTAGGTTTCTCTTCTGTGGCTGAATTTCTTAGCATTTTCTCCTACACGTATTAACTTGTAGTGTCCAAGTGTGCCTTGTTTTATTTCCTTTCCTTGTACTGCCCATGGAGTACATGTCTATATACTTATTTCTTTTGTCTGTGTACTTTCACATCAATTTAACCTCATCTAGGAGTTTGTTTTATATCTCAGCACTCCTTCAGGATTATCAGTATGAATGAGAACGGCATTGTTTGATAGCCTGCAGGTGAACAATTTCCATATTTCCATTTCCACTTCAACATTTGCCTTTGTTAACAGTCCTTATGTTAATTTTCAGTCAATGCACAATTACTAAATACAAAACAGCACAGACTGGCTTACACATGACCTAAGGAGCTATTAATAATCAGGATGAGACAGTCATCGTCCCAACATCATATAGAGTCTGAACAGAATTAATCTTACTGAAATGTTCATGCCCATCTCTGACCTTGCTGATCTAAAGCATTCTTTACAGACAATGCAGAAGACAGGTATTTCTAGGGCAGAACTCAGACTTATTTTAGATGTCTCCTTTAGGATGGGATGAATTGTTCACTTACAGGGAACTTTGTGACTAGACAGAAACTGAAAATAAGAGTCTGAAGCTTCGCTATCAAGAACCTTCTCTTCTACTCTCCTATGTAAGTAGCTTTTGGAACTTCGTGAAAAAGTACTATAATGGGCTTTTCCAGGAGCACTGTGAGAAAAAATGAAAACGAGGTGTGACCAAATGTGCCACTGGTGCAGTTACCCACACCTGAGATAGGTATCACAAGCTCCTTTGCTGTCAGCAGAAGAATACCACATTGTGAAAAAAACGGATTGTGAGCATAGAATACTCGTTAAAAAATACTAAAAAATGTGTTATTCCTAAGAAATTATGTGGTTTTCAGAGAAACAGTCAAATGACAGCTTTGTTATAACAGTACAATATTAGATGCTAATACAGTATTATGTATTTTAAAATATTATATATTAGTATTTAAAAATTCTTAGAAAGATGTGTAACTTTTTTTTCCTATTTGGCAGATATCTATGGTGTTAGGAAGTATGGTATAGTTTAAACTCAGTCCAACTGGCACAAATAAACTGAGCTTTTACAATCTGCACTGAGAACATTTAAACCAGAATTAAATGACAATTAAATTCCGTGCATGGATGATTTATATAAATGAACATATACTATGGATTCTAATCAAAAGGAGAAAATGTTTTTCAATTTGTTCTTGGCAATTTGAATAACTCCAAAGGTTTTGATTTTCCAACACAAATCTTGTATAGTACAATTAGGCTTTGTGCTTAGCACACTGATTTAAAAAAGAATGTTCTATAATTTACAAATAAATAAAATACAGTTTAATACACCTGAATCAACAGATGCTGTATGAAAGCATCTGGAATAATAAGTGTAATTCAAGCATTCAAGAAGAATGCAGAATCATTTTAACAAAATGTAAGAGATGCTGAAAACATTTAGATACACATAATCTGATTATTATAATGTGTCTCATTTCATGGACACCACAGATTAGTTACAGAAAGAATTTAGCTAGACACACTAGTAAATTTCTGTTTGCTAATCTATGCACTTGAAAGCATTACAAATAAACACAGAGCATTTAGAATGTATAGTTTTCTATATGTTACTTTACTTCTGTAGTCTCTCTTGACTGGATTGCAGGTATGACGGGAAAATATATCACTCCTTGAAACTGGGCCAAATGTGCCTGAGTTATTCTTTGGAACATGTAGTAAAAGTAGTTCTGGCTTTTTAAAATACTGTGTTTCTAAAAAAAGGGTTCCTTCACCTCTGTTTAGTTCATGAACTATGTGACAAATACTAAACACAAGAGAACCAAATTATTTATTGAAAAACTGTCACCAAGTGGCCCTGTGCCTAAGCTTAATAAATTGCGCAAGACTTGTCATCTTTGCTGTATAAATATTTGCATTACATAGTAGACCTAGAAAATTACATATTTATCACTTAATGGTGAATGCAAAAAGCCGTACATTAATCACAATAATATACTCTGTAATATGAGCATAGACTGGAAAATGCTGACCAATGATGATATATAATTTTAAATGTATAATTCAATTTTGGGTGATACACTAGAATAGTAAAGATTTTTTTATATAATTTAAGAGGAGAGTTTACTCTTTTATGTCTGTATTTTGGGAAGTGGGAGATACTCAGATTTCAGCATGCTTTTTGTTAGAGTAAAGAATAATTTAAAGCTTATGTATTGGAGGTATTTTTAATGTGTGCTAATACTTAAACAACACTGAGCTGGAAAGAGTAAGCACTACCCCGTTCCTTTACCAACTGCTGATAAAACAGCCAAGTAACAGCAATAAAGGCAACTCTTAGTATGTCTAATTGTTTCTTTCTGTTCATGCAAGTGTATTTTCTTCTAAGCAGAGCTGGAGATCAGCTGCATACTTCTGTTCAACGTGCTCTCTGAAGCCATTTTAAATTTAAGTTCTTAGTCATACAGTGACCTGATAATGTTGCAGTGTAATGATAGCCTTGCTTGTGCTATTGTCTTGATGCATGCAAATGAAGATTAATGTTATCAACTATTAATGACATGTAACTGTTAAAACTGTAATGTCAGCTGTAAAACCTCAAACAACACTTCCTTTCTCCCAACAATAAAGTAATCTGGGCCTAGTTATTTTGTGTTCAGTGGATTGTATATTACACTAAAAGCTATAATACATAACAAGGACTACCACTTACACAGACAACCTAAAATGTAAAAATCTAAGAAGTCCATGTTTTGATTTGGGAGTAAAAGTAAAAAAAAAAAGAGCCAAACAAATCTAGACATATTAAAAAGCCCCCAACCTTCCAAATGCTAATGTACCATCCCACCCAAGATAAGATGTAAACATATCAATACTCATTTAGCAAACCCATTTTTCAGCCAAACATGAACCAACAACTTCAACTGCGAAAAGCCACCATGGTAATGGCCTAATGCTATGCAAGGTGATGAGAATACTGTGGAGGGATTTGTTTAAAAGCATGAAGGCAGCAGCTGCAAAAATTATGCAAAAATATGCAAGAATGGGTTCTCAAAGCTCTTATAGGATTAGATTAGGAAGACAAAGAGTAAATAATGTATAATGAGGAGGGACATTAGCTAAGCTATGACATGCCACATAAGGCAAAGTTACAAGCCAGCAAAAGTCCACATTGGTGTCTCAGAAAACAAACCAAAAAAACCCAAAAAAAGACTCTCAGATTAAAATAAAAAGTTTGGTTTACCCTGTTGGACCCTGTTTGAGTTTTTTTTGTTACCTACAAAAGAAAAAACCCACCCCACAACCAGTCCTGCTCTGTGCCATTTTTCTCTCCCCATCCTCTCCTCTCCCCTCTTCAGCTGGACATGCACTGTGCTTCCCTCACCCCAACCACCAGCTACCACAATGCTATTGCCTCTCTTCAGCAACACACTGAGTGCAGAGCTGATTAGTAGGGTTTTGGGAAGTCAGAGGTTCCAGGAAGAACTTTTGCAAATACCTAGGGCATCCTATACCACTAACAAAATGCAAAAAACCCATCCTTTTCCCTAGCTCCCACATGGTGAAGAAACCAGGGAACAAGTCCTACCTCTGCTCTTTCTCTCATTCCTCTAAAGTCAAAGCATGTGAGAGACTACCTCTTCCCCACAGATAACCCACTAGCCCCTTTTCCAAGAGACTTAATAATGTTGTGATTTAAGTACTGTAATACAGTTATTAACAACATTAAGAGATTCCCCTTACATCAGTCAATGCTGAAGGATGCTGACTCATTGCTACAGAAGTACACCGTGAGGACACATTCCACCACATATCCTCCCTTTCGGAAGATTCGGTTTCTTAAAAATAGTGCTAAGAGGCAGAAATAGATACAATTGTCAGGTGAAAAATGTGACTACTGAAGAAACCATGTAAGACCAAGCTAAAGCATGCTTCACATTCCTGAAAAACATAAAACGTGTCATTCCATGTTTTAATTTATGTATTTGTCCAATTTTGTAAACTGGGTCTAATGGAGGCTAAAAAGCTTGAAAGAAAAGTGTCTCACTTAACTCAGAACTATTTTTTTAACCTTTTCTGTGATATTAGGATCATTATGGTCCATGCTATAAATTGCTTAGATTCAGAAATGCATATCTCTGTCTGTGAAAATTCATACCCTCTATTAAACAGCAGCCTATTTTCCTTCATATAACTGTTCTATGCACAGTGGTATTTATTAGTGTAGCCATTTAATAAACAATTTTCCCTTCTTGAAATTAAGATACATTTTATGATGGCCATCACGTACCCAATCTTTCTATTAATTCTATAGAAATTAATTTTATAGATTTTATAAGAATTAGGTAGAAGTTCAATATTCAGGATACCCCTTTCATACAGATGCACTCAGTTGTGTCTGCTAGCTTCAGTTCCAACTGGATTATTTGCTGCATGAGTGACCGAGAGATACCTGACCTGAAGACTAACATGACTTTTCAGATTTCTGCCCAGCTGCATTATATTTTCTATGCTTTATCCCGCCCTTTATGTCCACCCTTGACAATACACAGTTGCTGTTTCTGTGCCATCTCTGAGTTTAGATTATGTTACATGTGCAATCCATAGACATCGATTCAATATGGTAACCAAAACAGGAAGCCTCTCCCTAATAAAATATTTAAAATGCATCTATCATAACAGTAGCTAGTTATCAAATGAGGTGGATATAACTCCCAACAAGCTTGTCTTACTGCCTTGTCTTTTCGAAAGTTAGTGACAGCATTACCAAAAAAGTACAGCCCCTTGGAAATGAACAATATAAGTAAAATTCCCACTAGAGAAGGAGGCGAATTTGCATCTGTACACACCAGAGTATTTTTATCTATACAGCTTTTGTTGTTAATGCTTTTGCTTGTTTAATGGTTGATATTTTCAAAGCTTTCTCTGCTTGAAGGATATTTTTTTGTCAGTAACATTTAGATTTGGGATTGAAGATTACTGTTCTGTTCTTACAGTGAAATTAACTCCATTTCTTCAAAGAAGCTTTTGAAGTGTTTTTTATGTATGGTGGAAGTACGGATTGACAGCACAGTGATCCTCTTCACTATTCCTATGATCAGCAGCTGTTAACCTATTTTTATCAACAACTTCATTGCTCCAAGAAACACTTTTGCAAAATGTGAATGCAGCTGGTGAGATCATTCCACGTGAGCAGTCTTCTCCCTATGAATGTTCGCAAGCAGGTTCCAAAAAAAAAAAAAATTTCACTTCAAGAAGTAACCAGCTGCCAAGCCACCCTCCTACATCACACAAGGCCTCTTTTTCTTTCCACTCATGTTCCAGGTATGCACAACCCACTCAGCTCATAGATGGGCATTTCCCAGACACCTTCATGTCATCCCTCTGAGAGCTTCAGCACCCTCTCTGAGGCCTTTGGTATGGTCCACAATATCCTAGGATGCCACTACTGCATACAGAACCCAAAATAAATGCTCAAAAATGGTATTCCCTTATCAGATGCAATCTCTAGTGTCTTTGCTTTCAGATTCAGATAAAAAGTATAAAAAGAACATTTTCTGAATGCAGCAAACACGTAGACCGATATCACAATGTCAGTGAGGAAAGGATGGAGTTTCTAAAGCAGAAGAGGGTATTTGAAGCTATACTGCCCTCTGTGTCTCTAGAAGCAGGAGTAAGGATGAGACTGACTCAGCCTTGCTACTCCACTAGAATCCTTTAGACATTCATGATCGGCACCTGCGGAGCATCAGGTAAGTTGTTCTGCTGTATGAATTGTGGGCACAGTGCCAATTATCCCCCAAGAAATACTAAGGAAGGACCAAAAAATACAGTGAAACTCTACTGCTTTAAGAGAAGAAGTGCTCAGAATGAGCACTGGAAACCATGACAGGGCATGAGAAATCTCAATACTTGGATTGTGTAGGGAATAGAGCTTGGCCTGCCATTGATTTCATCCTCTATGATCTGCCATCTGCTTTCACTTGTTGTCTGATGCATCTCTGCTTTATGATCTCAACAAAGAACTTCAGAATTTAGTAGGTGCTCAACACATAAATTAATATGGAATAATACAAATTTCTTACAGATATATGAATGTTTTATAGATATGGTATGCATACTATGGATATGAAGGGCAAGAAAGCAGAACATTAATTCACTCAACTATTTTCTAGTTATCATACTCTGTGTTTTTGCTAGTCATTGTTTCCATAGAGAGCATCAAGAACAAACAGTAGACATGCATGGACTTGATCCTCATGCAATGCACACATTTTTAATCTTTTTAAAATCTAACATGTCTACTGGGACCATCTTTGATACACCTACCAATAAACCCCGAGGAAGGAGGGTTGGGCTGTATCTTCTCTTTAGTGTTCTCCTGAATGATGTCCCAGAGCTGCCATATAAACTTTGGATGGAGGATGTAAAACGGCTGGGTTGGATTCTTCCTACGATGCTGTACGTAGGGAGTGAACAGATTGTAGTCTGGCTTCTTATACCACTGGAAGGAAAAAAGTAAGATTTTTTTAATCTAATAGTATCAAATGTGTTTTGAACACTACATGTACAATAACATAAACTGGCTTCATTTGGATTCTGCAGAACAGAAGCAAAGGTACAAAAAAAGCAGGCTGCACTGGTAGATGTTTTTGCTAGAAAGGCATTCCTCACTCTGGGCTATTCTGTTTTCCTTCTTCATAGACTCCCAATAAATAATTGAATGCTGTGGGATAAGCCAACCCTATCTCCCCCTCATAGATCCACATTAAAGAAGGGGTTCAAAGAGCCCTGACATGAGATCTGGGCCTGAGGGTGAATCTTCCTCTGAAAGTGTCCCTGTCCCTGCTGGAGGCAGCAGCAGCACATGAGGCAGACTGATGGCAGCCTGCGTAGGAGGCAGGCAGCCTCTAGCATCTGTTGCTAAGGGAGTTCAGCAGATGAAGGCTTACTTTCTACTTTGCAGCCTGCTCAGCTCCGAGCTCCCTGTGCCAAAAGCCATCAGATCAACTTGTCTACTGGAGCTGCAGCAACAGCCAAAGCAGAGACTCCCCCAGTGACAACCAGGTGGACATATGCTGCTCTCAGTGAGGGGGTGGATGGCAGGGCACAGATGGCTGTGTGACAGTGGACATAAAGGGAAGACTAGTGGGGGATGAGGTCTGAGAAAGGGGGAAGAGATTTTCACTAGGATCTATCTTGTTTGGGAAGGCAGAGGGGAAAGTGTGGAAAAATGGATGCAATTTTTCACCTTTCCTGATAAAACCTCCTTCTGAAATCTAGCAATGTTCCCTCCTTGGCAAGCACACAGCAAACTCACTGTTATGTGAAAATAACAATGTTTTTTCAAACAAACGCCATCATCCATCTATCCTAGCATCTTAGAACAGTGCATTCTAGGACAAATGCTACAGAAAAGTTTTTGACCAATAAACCAGCTTTGACCAATTCACGAAGAAATAGCATTCTCCACTCAGATGAAGACAGACCCTGAGGTTCATCGGGAAAAGTGAGAACAAGGAGACTATAGTGGTAAATACATTCATTTTCTCCACTGCTTTCAACTGATTGGGAAGAAAGGTCTAAGCAGACATCTTACCACATTCAGGTTTGCAGAGTAGGGAGCAGGATCCCAGGCAACTAAGACAACATCTTTATACAAGGAGCTGTCAACAAAGTGATGGTTTGGATTGGTGAGAATCTGCAAACATAGATGCAAAGAACTGCACATCATTAAAAGCATGTGGGATCCAGAAAAATGCAAAATCCTTATCTAAAATAAACAGTCCTACCCAGGTTGCTATTTGTTCTGCTTTAGTTCTGGTGGATTTTAAGCATCTTGTTTTGTTAAGAAAACATATAAAAAAGAGCTTAACCATAAACAGCAGTCATGACAGTTTGAATTGGCAGTATGCTGAATTACTCTCCATCTGTGAGGGATGTGATGGGACCACTTAAGATGCTGCATAATTGTATATCAACATTACCGTGTATTCTGGAACTTGAAAATGAAAGGTATGGTATTTTAAGACCGCCTGCAGGATCCTCTTAGACACAGAGCAGCTTTCTTTGAAGGGCTACAGCCCCCAAGGGTAATGTCTTTCCTGCTGCCCACCCCCAACCAACTTTGTGGTTGCTTTCTCATTTCAACAGCAAGTCAGTCTCATTTCAAGTAACTCCAAAAAGGCAAATTAGACCATGACTGTACAGGCTTGGTATACCTAGAAAAACAGTTCCAACAGCAGGCACACAATAGGATTATATTTGAAGTAACTGTCATTTTGCTCAAATTGACTGCTTTCATATAACTCCTTCCTGCATCTCCTGGTACTCTGCCTGATCCTCCCACCCCACTGGAAGTTTACTCTTCGCTCCTGCTGGCTCACCCCTTCCAAAACCCTCCATGTGTAACCAGATCTCTTTGATCCCCGGTACATCCAATGTCAGGCAGGTTCAAGCTGAATAATTTCAGCACTGGTCGAAACAGCATGAATTTGGTTCCAGCTGTTAAACTAATCAACATTCCAGACAAATAAATTCATATTAATTTTCATTTCCCTTTAGGATCCAATGAGCCATATTTGATTATGCATATTTTTCTTCAGAAAAATAATATTGTTGCCATAGTGATATTTTCCCTCCCATAAACTTTGAGCTTAATGATTTCCATCAGCCTTCTACAACGAGAACAGAATTAGTCATGTTGCTATCAGCATCCCCAACTCCATTTCTCAGAGCAGTTTTCACCTCAGAATGTAAACTCCTTTTTTGAGAGTGCAGAGTAAACAGACCAAAAGGTCAAGATTTTAAAAGCTTGGTTCCACAGTTACCACACAAAGGAGCTCTTACTTGCCTTTCAGTAAGCAAGAGCCCTTTGGAGGTAGTGTCCACACAAATTTCGCTCTCAGTGAGTCTGCATTCATATGTATGAGATGAGTTTTTTCCTGCAATAATAATATCTGTTGTGGCTGCATAGTCTTCTTTCATGTCCTTTGGGCTTTGACAGCAGAAAATATGAGGGAAATGGGCCAAAGCAGTCTTTTTATCAAGTGAATATAGGAATTTTCAACATCAAGGAGGAAAGGAGGGTCAGTAAACCTGTATAGGTAACCCAGCTTCAGTACTGGTAGGGAAAGCCACTTTCATCAAGTGGCCTGTGCAGATTTCAGTCTCGGAGAGGACAACACTAGTTTCTCAGCAGGTGGCCAGAGTATCACAGGTGGCTTCTGACCTCCCTGAAAGTGCAGAAAGGTGGTGGGAATACAAGCACTTGTGAGGAAGCCGTGTGAGCTGACCTGGCAAGAACTTCAGCATGCCCTCTGTTTTCTGTTTCTTACGGGGAGTAAGCCTTATACAGCGCAGAAGAGAAGACCATGGGACTCTCCATTACCACTCCAGTGGCAGCATACTGCAGCAGTGCTGGGAGCCAGGAGGACCCCAGTCTGCCCTGCCGTGAGCAGTGGAGAACAGCTAGTTTAATTATTTAATGTCTCGGAATTTGCTGGGGAGCTAACAAAGCTCAGATCACTCCCTGAGAGCATTTCTCTCTTCTGCTACAGGGAGTCTACTGAGTCTAGTCAACTATAAGAAGTTTCTAAACTCTTCTCCTTGCCTGGCACATGAGTTCAGGCATGGTCAGCACCAGGACATTTTGGCGAACACTAAAACAGAGAACCATCAAAGAAAGGAAAAAAAAACAACAAAAACCAAAAAAGTAAAATAATTTACATGAAAATCCATGTTCTCTGATACACCAATTTCAGCATTAAAGCCAGAATAAAATATTTCTGCTTTCTTCCCCAAACAAAAGAAGGGGTGCATATTTAACCCAGATCACAATGGCAAAGAACATGAGCTTATACACACAAAGAACACACTCACCTAAAGAGGAAGAAAAAAATGAACTCATAAGAATTACAGTAACTGAAAATTTAGTTCTCCTTCAGCAAGAATCAGTATGCGCAGAGCATGCTTACATGGCCAACCATACTTAGTGTTGACTAAGTAAACTCTTCATTTCAATATGTCATAAAATTTCACAGTAATTCTGTTGTTGCTTTTTGTCTGCATTTCATGAAGAGAAAAGAGGTTTGGTTTGTCCAAGACTGGAATTCAGGCAATTGCTTTTTCAAAATTGAAAAACTACTCTCAACCATAAGGTGTCACTGTAGCTCAATGCATGGTTATTTGTTGACACCCATATGCAGAAAATCCCATTTTCTGTTTCCATTCAGATGAACAAACTCGCCTTATGTTTAATGTGTAATAATTAGTGTACATTAAAGTTCTTTATTAGTTCATTCCAAATTTTTGAAGAATGATGACTTAAGTTACACATTAAGACAACTCAGTTTCCATTTAGTTTGCCTTCCAGCAAGAAAATAATTGGGGAACTGGAAAATATGAGAAAAGAGCTTTGGGATCACCATAGCCTGGATTTTGTGAAGCTCCTGCAGGCAGTGTGGCAAAGGTCTTCTATACTGACGGCTCTGGCATCCTGCAGAGCTTTTGCAGATGCAGGACACATGAGAAACTTTACAAACCACTTCTTGAAATGAGGCTATCAAGTAACTACCACAATCACTCCACACTGACAGCAGTGTGAACATCCCTGTAAGGGAAAACTTTTACCTTCTCTACATCGTGACTGTTGAATCACTAGCAGCTTCACAGATTACCCAGCACTTTCTCAGAAGTTATTAATTTAATGTCGTATTGTACAGAAATGACATTGACTTGAATTCACAAAAGGAAGATCTTACCTGAGAGTTAATGATCCGCATGGTTGTTTTATTTCCAACATCTTTTTCATAGCCACGTGTTGGAGCAGAATTAAATCTTAAAACGGCATCATGAGAATCTAGGAGCATAAATGAGGGGGTAACTTGTTTTTCTTAGTATATAAAACAGTAAAATAAAACAAATGATCTAAACCAGTGCAAAACTTACACATTTCTCCTAATCTTGATATTTTAAGGATGATAAACATTCTACTATGCGCAAAAAAAATCCTCTTGCATCTGCCATATGTTATTAATGTAAAATCCAGTGAAAATCAAGTTCAGAACCGCCTATTAATTTAGCTTGCAATACTTAAATGCTTCTCTTAATTGGATAAACTTAGTGTGGGAAGATTATTAGTACATCCAGTACAGACAATTGTTCACAACTTCTATCACAAAATTTACAAAGAATTATTCCATGCAAAAGCATGTACACTACAAAGATATCTAACTGCACATTTGAATGAATAACAATGCTTAACCATAAGCTTGTGTTTCACAGTATTTTGTAATACCTGAAAATCCCAGACTACCCCAACCCTATTAATCATATCATGTATTTATTCTCAAACTCAGTACAAGTCTTAAAAAGCCTCTGTAGGGAAGCCAGCCCACATATTTGCTCACACACAAAAACCATTTTAAAGATCTTAGAAGTTTGGGGTTTGATCACAGATCCCTGTTACTTTCTGATGATGCCAAAATAACTGGTTCTCTCATTAAACAGCATGATCACGATGGGAGTGTTTGCTATACTTGCACAGTATTTTTATACCTACTTTCATTAAGGAAGAAATTCTTTACAGAAAGGGTAATCAGGCGTTGGAATGGGCTGCCCAGGGAAGTGGTGGATTCTCTGTCCCTGGAGGTTTTTAAAATGAGACTGGATGTGGCACTTAGTGCCATGGTCTAGTAACCACAGTGGTGTTGAATCAAGGGTTGGACTTGATGATCTCAGAGGTCCCTTCCAACCCAGCTGATTCTATGATTCTATGATTTAAAAATAGTTGGAGAGGTGGGGGAAAGGAGGGCAAAAGGTGGAAAATAAATTAACATTTTTGCTTGTGTTTCTAATGGGAACACAGAAGAGGGAGCTAAAGGCCTAGGAAGGGAAGAGTCCTTTGCTGCTGCTTTCTTATGCCTTTTTTCCTCTTTGGAGAATAAATCATGGAATGGTTTGGGTTGAGAAGGATCTTAAAGATCATCTAGTTCCAACCCCACTGCCATGGGCAGGGACACCTTACACTAGACCAGGTTGCTTGGAGCTCCATCCATCCTGGCCTTGAACTTTTCCAGGGACAGGGCATCCACAACTTCTTTGGGCAATCTGTTCCAGTGCCTCATCACCCTCATAGTAAAGAATTTCCTCCTAACATCTAATCTAAGTTTCCCCTCTTCTAGCTTAAAACCATTCCCTCTTGTCCTGTCACTATCTGCCTCCATAAAAAGGTCCCTCTCCATCTTTTTTTTGTAAACCCATTTTAAGTTCTGAAAGTAAGGACTTTTGCCTGCAGCAATGTCATCAACCAAGGGTGTACAGCCCTAAACCCAGAAGTCATGTATGGGGTGTTTTCCCCACTGTTGCTGACTTTGCCGTACCTCTGTGGACATGGAGGTGCTCAGCAGGAATGGCAGGCTGAGTCCACAGAGCAGCACCACTGGCTGCCTCTGGTGCCTCCAAAATGTCAGGTTCACTTGCATTTTCAACCAAGAAGCTGGTAGCCCTCGTGCCAGGACTGGGAGAGGGCAGTCTTCCCCTACAGCTGTGCATGCACAGGGATAAAGAGCATTCTTAACTTTTTCTTTGTGGTCAGACTATCCCTTTTTCAAGGATTAGAGGGAAGGTGGAAAGGCACGGTCAAGAGCTCAGTTGTAACACACACTATCTGGACTCTGCAGGGGAAGTATAACTTCAATAATACAAACAGATGTTGGAGCTTCCATTTTCCATTTTAAGTGGGAAACACTGGCATGACATGGACCCGTTGTAGCAAGTCCAGAGAAGGGTCACTAAGATGATCAGACAGGGCTGGAGCACCTCTCCTATGAAGACAGGCTGAATTAAGGTTGTTCAGTCTGGAGAGGAGAAGGCTCCAGGGAGACCTTATAGTAGTTTCCAGTACCTAAAGGAGACCTACAGAAAAGCTGGAGAGGGACTTCTTACAAGGATCTGTAGTGATAAAAAAGGGGCAATGGCTTTAAAGAGTGCAAGTTTAGATTAGATATAAGGAAGAAATTCTTTACTGTGAGTGTGGTGAGGTGTGGGAGAATGTAAAGACTATGAATCCTGGAAAGAATGACTTTAGAAGTGGGTCCATCACAACGGCAGCTCTCCGGGATCGAGTGGAGTGGAAAAACGCAGACGATTCGTGTTTTATTGTACAGTTTTCCCTGGACTATGTAATTCCCTTACCCATGTGGCCCCCCCCGCGCAGCGCCATGTTGTCTCCCCTCCCGGAACTGGTCCCTGCCCCTGCACAAGCATTATTGGTTGTCTCCCTGGCTTGTTATTGGACTTTGGTCCTCCTGTATCCCCCACTGGTTAGCAGAGCCCTCAAGCCACTCCCTTTCCCCGGACCTTGGCCCAATCACATTCCTCCTTCTAAGCCCTCCCCTGGAGACCTTAAAAGCCCTTGGGAGTTTCAAATAAACCACTTTTCGCCCCTGGAATCCAGAGAAGAGACTTGGTGACTCTTTCCTCCTTCTGATGGGGGATCGCGCCACTGAGACCCTCTCTGAGAAACCGTGAGCAAGGAGTCGCTAGAATCAACTCTGTTAGTGAGGCACTGGAACAGGTTACCCAGAGAAGTTATGGATGCCCCATCCCTGGAAGTGTTCAAGGCCAGGTTTGATGGGGCCCTGAGCAACCTGATTTAGTGGATCTAGCGTAGGCCTTATCAAACCCCATCTCCTCCCTTTAGGCAGCATCAGATGACAATTTCCCAATTCAATAAAAAGCTCTTTGTAGAAAATGGCATAAGCTTCTGCGCCCAGAATCTTCCTAAGAAATTGGGTACACACAGGAGTGAGCAGAGCCCAGGTACCACGTCAAGCATCAAAGTCCATACCTGGGCTGCACCTGAGTGTGCAAATATGACGTGAAGCATGCTGTAATACATAATTATGTAAATATGTCACAACGTGCTATGGATTCTCCAGTACAGCACTAATCCATACTAGTGTAAACTGGGTACCAGGGAACACTGACAGAAGATTCTGTTTCACACAAGGATAACGTGTTGGAGAAGGGAGGAACTGTTAAGCTTTTTCACCTCAAAGATTTCTAAATCAGTGAGGTTTCATGTGAAATTGGGGGTTACGCGGGTGTGATTTTAGCTGCAGGTCAGCTGGGCACCTCTGCTATGCTGGAAGGATATTAGTTTGATAACACTAGCAGATCTAACATACCCCAAAGATTTAAAGGAAACCTGTGTGAAACCCATCTGTGCCAAAGAGATGATACCGTGCGATAAAGAAAGTACTGTGATGTGAAGTCCTGGAACATGGGAGGATTAATGAGTGAACACCAAAAGGTTTTTATAAAGAGGTGAAGGAGATAACTCTTCTTGTTCCAGAAACAAGTTTTAGACATACATTTCATCCTTCTTTCAACCCACTTAGCATACTGCACATGTACTACTAAAATGAAGACCTACTGAGATAATAACACAGTAGTGTAGTAGCATTCATTTTTAAAAAGAAAAAATAAAACTGACCTGAATTAGTTTTATGGCCCCACAATCCTTTTCTGAATAGCTATCACAAAACTCCCACCTTGAGGTGGGGAATTTTGAGTGACACTGACATCTCAGCAAACCTGCAAGCTCACTGACTCAGTGCAGCAATGGAAAAACAATGGGTGAAGGTACTTGACCTCATTTAAATTCAGTCTCAGAAAAGAGGTCAGGGGACTTGATCTCAGTGCATGAAGCTACACAAGGGTGTGAATTCTTTATGTCTGTGAACTCTAAACACACAAGAGTGAAGAAGACACTCTACTGCTTTTTGTCATGGAGACAAAGTTCAGTTTGGGACAGCAATATAACAGCAATTCCTCCATGAGCCACTGCAAAATAAAGACCAGTACAACACCGCTTTGCAGAATAAAACCTGAATAAGACTTTGATCTGCTGAAAATAAACGCATGTTACAGAAAAATGTTGAATACAGCAGACCTGATGAAACCAGTGCCTTCTTCATACTACAGGCTGTAATATGACAAGAAGGCATAATTGTTTCTTTAAAATTAAATTATGACCTCAGGCCTGATTTTGTTTTCAGTTATATTGTCCTGAAAAGGAACAGCTTCACTAAGTTCATAAGTTTGCATTCATGCAACTCTGGGGAGAGAGAACAACCAGACTTTACAGATCTGTGCTTGAGGAGAATGAACCTTTTGAAAGATAAACACGAACACACACATATACATATATATACATGTGAATAGATGCGTTTCACCCACCTATTTCATCTCCTAGAGAGGAGTTCAGTATTGCACCAGCAGACATAACTACTGCACAGCTCCCAAAGCCATGTGTATATAATTTGCCCAGTGGAATTTGGGGAACGTGCTTTTCCCATCCAAGAGTGGAGAATGGAGCCTCCTTGCCATCTATTGTTTTCACATTCACTCTTTCTTTTAGCTCACAGAATAGCTGGTCTCCTGTCAACTTGGAGTTTCGTTTCCCCTTGAACCGCACCCCATGCTTATTGGTACTCAAATAATCTTTCATCGCCTTCTGCAGTCGAGGGTTTAGCATCTTGGAAGAGACATCCCCTTTCCAAAGCTTGTAAAGAAAGGATTTCGACATTGTAGAATACAGCCCATCCCAGTCATCAGATTCATCAAGCATCTGGCTTCTGCTATGCTTTGTGCTCCTTCTCCTCATTCTTCTCTGATGGCTCCAGTTGTTCTGCAAAATATTTACTTCTGCATTATTCACATCAGCTGAGATGAATTTTTCTATCTCTTGAAGGTGGCTGTGTGACCGAGGCTGACCAGCAGCAAATAAATAATCATCATTCACTTGGTAGAAATCACTTTTTGATTTTCTTCCTAACTGGGATGGAAAAAACTCATCTTCATTTCTAAAGGCATCTTCCAATACAGTCCATTTCTTAGAATTTCCAGTCTCTGATTTAAATGTACCTAAGAGATCTTCATTAAGAAGTACCTCATTCCCATCAATGGTTTCAGAGAATGATGGATCATGAATGGCTCCCATGATGACTCTCTGCTTGCCTTGAAGGGGCAGAAGTCTCTTAGTTTCAATGTAAGAAAAGGAACTTGGAACTGGTTCAGCGGTGTTGCTATCTGTAAAATAGATGAACATCACCAGGAAAAGAAGACCCCATGCAAAGATACCAAACAGCATGAGTTGTTTCCATTGCTTCAAGTTAGGTTTCATGGCAATGCCTTTACCAGCTCCTCTGTGCCTTGAAGTATTGGTGAAGGAAAATGAAACCTGTAGAAAACATCAAGTACTATTAAATATTGTTCTAAAAATAGATACAATTCCGAAATATCTTAACAGCATTGATAGAAGCTGCAGAATTAATCTCCAAGCTGTAGCACAGAAGATTCAGTAGCAGAAACAAACTCCAGAGCCTGCAGACACTGTAGGAGTGACACGCTTTGGCTGTAACCACACCGTGACAGCTGCTAGCTACAAAAGAAGCTGGTGGCCAGTTTCTACAGTAACACTGGATCCTGCCTTCAGGGAGATCATGTGCCTGCCTGCTTCTGCTATACCCAATGTAGCATTAAGAGAGCAAAAGCAAAACCCATGCCTGGCTGCATGCGCAGTGGGAACAATATTAGCTGTCTTCTCTTTTGCCATTGAAAGTCCTTATGCAGTGGAACTGTGAGCAAGCCTGTCCCCAGAGGGACTAGGCAGGGACAAACCCTAAGCTGGCAGCCCTCCTCTGCCCACAGCCTGGAAAGGATGGTGCTCTGTGGATATCATCAGGGGGCGTAAGGGAAAGCATTCTACCAGAGGGGAACCTTTTCCTCAGCTGGTACGAACTGGCACAGTGCGAGTGGCTATTTGTTGCCCAGTACCAGACCCAAGTAAGAATGACTGCTGTACCTCTGCTATGGATGCTTGGATGCTGCATGCCCACTGAGTTGGAATGAAGGAGTTCTGCACATCAGGGTCTGAGGGGTTTGTATTTTCCAAAAAGGAGAATGGATGGCACAACTATCTAAACATATTCCTTTAGGATAATATAGAGATTTACATAAAGGGGGTAGAACTAGACCTGGAAATCTGTGCTCTACTATTACCTGGGGGTTTTGGACAGCTTGTGCATTAGTGGAGGCATGCATAGTCCAAATGAAATAAAGTCTGACCAAGGGGGCTGTGTTCCAAGGAAAATACACTAACACATTGCTGGACCATCAAGCACGCTAAGCCCTTATATGAACCCACTTGCTTAATCAAGTGGTGTGGGCATCGGTTACAAAGCTGACTGAAGAAAGTACAGCCCTTCCCTATCATAAACCTTTACCATTCACCTCCCTGCACCATAGTCATCATCAGCCTCAGTTGCTACACTTCAGTGTAACTCAGCGTACTAATTAGACAGATCACTTAACTGACCTGAATGTAAAAAGAAGCCCCTTCTTCTGAAGTTTTCTTTCTAACCCTATTTGTTTCAAGAGCCACTTAATGGTGGGACTTAAGAGCCACTTGTACCAGCCAGCTGCGATTAGGAAAGGAGAAGGGGTGCAGGAGCAGGCTTGGCTTTCATTACCAGCCTGTGCCTCAGGAGCCACCACCTCATCATATCACATCTGAACAGCACACACAGCTTATACGCCTCTGATAACACACCGCCTGCTCACACCTGACCATCAGGAGGGACCAAACCCAGTCACCATACACTGTCACCTTTCTGCAAGCTGCTGAAGTACATCAAAGCTAAGTGCAAAGTTTAGACCAAAGCTATAACTAAGGCTGTGTTTTCACATAAAAAAAACCCCAGTAATAACACCAGCATAAGATGTTCCCCGCTCTGTCCCATACTCCTGCAATGTGCCTCTGCTGCTGCCAATACCCCTGTGTACGGGGCTGGCATATTACAAACTGAACCAGTAAACTGATAGAGCAGAGGAAATACATGTTAGAGGGGTTTTTTGTTTCAGTTTTGTTTTGTTGGGGTTTTTTTAAACTGGGTCAGCCCCTTTATCCACCACAGTGTGGTCACACAGCCAGTTGTTTCAGCACAAACAGGGAAATCGCCTACCACAATGCAGAGGCGAGAACAAACCGCAGGTTTTGTATTAACGGGGATAATTCAGGCTAGCATTTCTGCTGACCTCCTGAGAATGTGAGACTGCAGTATTACATTTCCAAACACAGTCTATTTTAACGATCTAGACAAAGCCTAGAACATTAGACAAAGATAGCTCACTTTTTGGCTCAAGGCAATGTCCAAACAGAGAGAGAATTCATAAAGTTACACTTGGATGACACAATTTTATTGCAAACACATTCATTTCTAATACACTGAAAAAAAAAATCCTGACTGTGATAACCCAGTGCTCCACACACATTTGGCTTGGCTCACAGAAACCACATGGGAGAAAGCTATTACTCCAACTAACCCATTTCCTACTTGCACTCTGCTGCTGCAAGATTTTTCTCTGCAGTACCTCGACACTCCCCCCACTTCCAATTTTAAATCACTGCAGGTGATGTCCTGTGGGAGTCGCCTTACAGTATATGGCTGTTGTGCAAGTGAGGTCTGCCCTGAACGTACTGCAACCTGCCCACTCATCAGTGTTCAGATGGTTTGCATTTTTAAATCAGCATTCTTCACCCATCTGAACTGCTTCCATCCCTTGTTATCATTTTCCCTGATATATTTCCCCAGCACTTTTCAACACGTGGCCTCCAAACCACTGTGTAAGTTAGCCTTTGCTCAGTCAGATGTTTCTCCTGCTGAATATACATTTCTTACAGGATTGCAATGGAAGCATCTTGCATAATCTTTTTAACAGATAAGCTTGCAGGAAGTCAAAGTTATAAAGGAAGAGGTCACTAATATTTTTCTGAGTTACTGAGTCATGTAACAAGTCCAGCCACAATTTAAAGATAATCCATAACAAAATCCCATGTTTTTCTCAATTTTTCCCAAGTTTTGTTGTATCTTAGAATGTTTTGATAAGAAACTGAAAGGTTTAGTCTTACTTCAGGTGCGAGACTACAAAACTTTCTAATTGCCTGTGATCACATGTGTTTGGTGCAGCAGACTGCCTCAGCATAAAAAATTAGGCAGGACTCCTAAATTCAATATTCAGGTTAAAATCTGACAAAGGACTGAGATGCATTATTAATTGTTTTTAAATTAAGGTAAACTAATTTCTGTCCCCCACCCCCAACACTTAGGAGGTCATGAAAGCACACACATCTTGGTCAGCATGGACATATAAGCATGCATATGATTACCTTCTTTGTGCAGAAAAAAATCATCTGTGTAAAATAAAAACCAGCATTCAACAGTATATTTGTCAACACTGCAAGCAAAAGGAGAGGGACCAATGAGAATAAATCCAAAAACTTTACACATTAGCCACCGCAGAAGCTTATCTGCAATTCCTCGTTGCAAGTGGGGCCTCAAAAAGGATACTCAAATCTCTTGAAGACCAGAGCTATGCAGGCAAATCTCTGTGCTGCTTTAATGTTTTTTAGCTCACAAGAAATGCCTTGTCCTCCAGCAGCACAGCTGAGCTGGAAACGAATTCAAGGTCATTACTGTATTAGTTGCAAGAGGACTTCTACAACCTCACAGGATCTTGAAAGCTGTGTGTGGAAAGCTGCACTAAGTCCAGAGAAATATCAGTTTATCTTATCTCCCTCTACTATAAACATCCAGTCTTCTCCCCCTCAGCCCCTGCAGCTTCTCACACCTCACAGTCTCTGACTTTGAGAATGTCTGGGAGGAGAGGGCAGCCCTTTCGCATGCTCCCCACCACCCTCCCGCTGGCAGCAGACCCCTGCGCTGCTCACGGGGGTATATTCCTCTTTACCACCTGGGGATGCACTTGGATTCTCGCCCTGTGCTGCTGAAGGCAGCACATCTCAATTGAAAAGAAAAAAACATTTGTGTAGGACACCAGAAATGATGATTGCAATGAATTACACTGGCTAAATAAAAAAAAAAAACAGGTGGCTTCATTTGTGCAATTACTGAAGTCCACTGGATGCTTCAGGAATAAACTTCCATCTCTCTCTTATTTACGCTCATCATACAGCTTCCAAACTGTTAAAGCAATTCTACACAAGTTTTTAAATGATCATTAACGTTTCTCATTCCAACTTTACCACCCCTGCCATAATAATCCTCCCTACTTACAGACAACAGAGACTGCTGGAGTCAGCTCCTGCTAAGGAGGACCAGAGGAATAAGTCTACCCCTGGGGGAAACACCCAAGACTTAACCCAACCCAGCTTCCTCTTCGGCAGAAATAATAAGCCTATTTGCCCCAGAGGCTGAAGATTTCATTTTCTTACATATCTCCCTTCTGATGGGCTCTTTTAATCATTAACTGATTTCAGTTCCAACTACCATATGGAGAACAGCTTTTTTCTTACCCAGTCTGGTTGTTTGCACAAAAGCCATGGAAAACATTAGACAAGGTACAAACCAGTGAAGTGGGCAGAAAGGGGAGACTTACTTATTTGCTTAATAGAAATACTAGCAGCAGCTATGAAAAAGAAAGGCAAACCCTAGTGGTATCTTTGATGCATCCCAGGAAATAAAGGCAATTCCCCAGTGGAAATTAAAGGCTGATTTTCAAGAAACGGCACCCACTTGTGGGAAATTTCATTTTGCTATGCTAAGGTGCAAGAAACCAATGAGTTCCCTCTCCCTTTATAAAGCCCATTGTTTTGCAACAAGGAGCACTTTTCATTTTTCTGAAGTAGGCCTCCTGACTATTTCTTAAATGAGAAGAGATGGATGAGGGAGATTTTTTTTATTCCTTTGAAACATTCCTTCCTTTCAACACTGTCTATTGTTAAAATTAATTTGTACAGACCCTGGCAGCTCAGAGGTCAGGATGGTTCAAGTTGATGTGCTAAGATGTGCACTGTTATGTTAAACAGGGTTTTCCTTGGCTGCAGCTTTACAGCGAGAAGGTCACCTCAGGGTTATTTGGGGTAGCAAATGTTAGACGTGGGCAACCGTTCCCAAAGGGCTGAGAATCAGACCAAGGTTTACTTGATGGAAAGCTTAGGCGGCCTGAACAGACAGCAAATGCTCCTTTAGTTTGCTTCATCTCTCAGTCAGCTAATTCCAGCATATTAAGAAACCTCTGGCATAGGGCAAGACAGCTGGAGGCTGCATTTCCAGGGTGGGGAATACACTCGTCCTCTCATGTGGGGAGTGCCAAATTGGTTTTAGTGTTATCGCATCATTTCTGCGGTGGAAGCCACACAGTAGTCAGCAACAGACAGGC